AAACACCATTAGAACAAATCATTCTATTCATTAAGAGAATGCAACTATATATCTATCCCAACCACTTTGAATACACAGATACAAAATGGACTTTTTTTTTTTTTTTTTTGAGACAGGGTCTTGCCATGTAGTTTGGGCTGGCCTTGAACACACTGATGCTCCTGCCTCAGCCTCTCGAGTCGTGGGGTTACAGGCTGGTGCCACCACACATGGCTAAGAATCTTAGGAGCTGTGCACTGCCTCATTTAGGCCCCGCAGCAGCACTGGCGACATCACCCAAATGCAGACACTGGATTTGGAGCACATGGCCTCCACTGCGCTGCAGGGGTGTGGACTGAGGCAGCGTCGCCCGAAGAGACAAGAAGACCGAAAGCACGCGCCATCCTATCCCAGTCGTGCTGCCACCGTGAACTGAGCCACGGAACTGAGCAGAGTCTAAGAGACTAGCAAAGCCTATACCTACGACAGCTGCAAGCCCCACAGGGAAAGACCGGAGTGAGGTGTACGGCTTCGCTCACTGCGGAAGCGCCCCACGGCCCTGACTCCCTGCTGCGGAGCAAAATCACTGTAGCTCACAGAAGTCTTTCAGGGCCTTTCTTCTCTCCGGGTGGATACTTATGCTGCACCTCACAATCTGAACACGAACATGCAACATTTGAGACTTCACACTAAATTTTAATACTCACTTGCTCATTGGGTGGCACATCTGTCCCCAGTAGGGTCTGTCTATCTATCTATCTATCTATCTATCTATCTACTTTGCTGTATTTTACCTTCCTGCACTTCGTAACTTTCATCTCTCTTTTACAATTTTTTGGGGGGGGCTTAGAGATTGAACCCCGGGCCTTCACACTGAGTTACATCCCTGGTCCTTTTTACTTTCTTACTTTGAAACAGGGTCTCACCAAGTGGCTAAGTCCCCCCTGTGCTCACATTTGCTCGTTTATTTTTGCAGTACCAGGGATTAAACTCAGGACCTTGCACTTGCCAGGCAAGCACTTATTCTACCGAGCTATCTCCCCAGCCCTATGTGCTCATACTTGCAATCCCCCCACTGCCGCCTCCCAGGGTGCCAGGAGTCCAGGCTGGCACCACCACGCCCAGCTTGGATAGCTGTCCTGCACGTACACTTCACTGGCACGGTGGCTCCCATACAGGGTACAGGCACCACAAGCACTGCCGCCCATCAGCACTGCCACGTCATTTTCTAGTTTCATGAACATCAAAGCCAATTACAATAAATTCATGGCAATGTATACTACAATGTTATAATTTATTTGTATAGATGAAACCCAAAGGGATAACATAGCTAAGGAAAAAGTGAGATGACAAAAAAAAATAATTCCTGAGATGATATATTCTGCCGCACTCAATAGTTTGGATGAAATACGTTCCTAGGAAATACTGAATTTAAACAGTGCTGGTTGTGAGAAGGCAAATGATTACTTTACCTAAAAGAAAAGGTAAATCTAGCATGGTGGTATGTGAGCTTAGGCCTGGCCGGGATAACTAGCCAAAGGAATGGATGAGTCAGTCAGTGAATGAGTAAATGAATGAATGAGTAAGTGAGTGAGTGACGGACTGACTGAACAAACAGCTGAGGATATAACTCAGCACAAAGGCACTGGGTTCAAGCTCCAGTAAAGAGAAAAAATGTCACAGGTTAGTACTGCCCGCTCGTGTTCATAGTGGCCTTGGGGGCACAGCCCTGCTGGCCTCCCCACCCCACACACCCTTGAGCTCATCAAGCAATGACCTAGGGATAGGACCTCTTACCACCAGCCTTTTTCTGCTGATGACCTCTCCTGGGCCTGACTTACCTGCTATTTTCAGCCATTTCTGCTCCAGCCCCTCCTGAGACAACTGCCCTTGAATTAACAGTTTCCAACTATGCATTCTCAAGAACAGAACAATAGCTGGAGGGCTTCATAAATTAGAGGCTCTGCAGGGTTGAATTAAGGAGGGCAGTACCAATGATTTAAGGATCTGCGGAGCACTCATGAACTCAGGCATATCCCATAATCCCTCAGGACACAGCGGTGAGGAGGCTGTGAAACATCCTCATTGTACAGGACAGTAAAGTGCTGTCCCTTGTGAGAACTGGTGGCTGAGCCCAGAGCGTCCAACAGGAGTGGCCTGCACATTGGCTGAGGAGACATAAGCAGCACTTAGTGGTTTTGGACCCAAGATGCTAAGCATCTTAGAACTTGGGACAGCCTCAGAGTGACGGCCCCTACCAGAGGGGAGAAGATACCCCGTGAAGAACCACCTTTGCTTGTTCTTCACTGTTGTTTTTACTGAATGATTTATCTCTCATAGACTTCTGTGTTATCCATTTCAAATTTAGTAAGTTAAGCGTGAAACCTGTTTTGAAATTTACCCCAAGGGATACTCTGGTGAAAATGGCCAAGCTGTCTTCTGCACTAGGCCCCCTTCCTAGCATCTTCTACAATGCCACCAACTAAGACCAAGGCATCAAATGCCTTTGGCCTTGGTGGCTGGGTGACAATCTATAGGCAATGCATTTACTTAGTGGTCAGGGCTTCTTGTCATCATTCAAATTAAATAATATATATATTTTTTTCTTTCAGCAGCCTTAAGGACTAGTGGTCAAATACAGGATATGTCAATGCTCACAGCACAGCCTAGTGACAAATTAACCCCACCAGCTATATATTCCTGCTGGTTTCATTTTTTACCTGTTGTCTGTGTGGAGGAAGAAAATTATAAGCTCTGTTTGCTATAAAAATTAGTCATTGCTAGAGTCTTACGAGCCTCTAATTACTTGCTGCACCTGAAAGCCTTGGAGGGTTCAGGTTGACCCTGAAGATTAGGCCTTCAGCTTAATCATTTACAAGCTTGCTAACCCAGCTTGGTGTCTGAGATCAGGCGGAGGTGAGGCCCTTCCACGGCATTTCCACCATGGAGGTGGGACTCAAGAAAGCCGACCCCAGTGAGGACGGCTGCAGGGTGGGCTCTCTGCAAAACACTGCATTTGAAGGTGCTACAAAGTTAAGGCTTACTTAGCGCATGTTGGAATAGCCAGAACTCCTTAATTTTTTGTTTTTTAAGTATTTGGTACAGGGTCTCACTATACAGCTCAGACTCATAGTGATCCTCCTGTTTTCAGCCTCTCCAGCGTTGGGATTACGGGCGTGCGCCACCATGTCTGGTCTCCCCAACTCCTTAAATTTAAACCTATTTGAAAACAGGAGGATCACGACTAGTCCAAGCCGTGTAGTGAGACCCTGTACCAAATATATAAAAAATTTATACCTGTTTGTGTTTTTAATCAGACGCCATCCTGGCTAGTATGAGTATGGGCTGCCCTGTCTGTCTTGTTGGCTTAGGTAGCCTTGGAAAATGAACTCTTCAGCCTGTGAGGGAAAGCTGCACTTCCTGTCAGGTCTTTTATGCAAGAAATTCATGAATCCTGTTGTTGTTCAGAAATGCCAGCATCAAGGATTTGTGTTTCCTTAGACCTGATTAAAATCTAATTCACACTTCAAAGAAATTTACTCCTTTTTTTTTTAAAATGTATTTAGTACAGGGTCTCACCACGTAGATCAGACTCATAGTGATCCTCCTGTTTTCAGCCTCCCAAGCACTAGGATTACAGGTGCCCGCCACCACACCCAGTGTCAATCACCCTCTCAGCACACTCCGGGAGCGGGGCCAGCATGGCACACTAGGGATGAACCCCAGTCCCTGAGTCTGCCTAAGCAGGCACTTTAATCCACTGAGCTATCTGGCTAGCCCAAAGAAACTCATTTCTTAATGTAATACAATTTATTTTTCATATCCCTTCTGTTAATTCTTTCTAAAATAAAACTTCAAAGTTTCTACTGAAGAAGCAATATTTTTAAATAATTAACTTGAGCTGGGCATAGCAACACATGTCTGTAATTCCAGCACTCTGGGAGACTGAGGCAGGAGGGCTGCAAGCTTAGCCTAAGCAGTTTAGCCACTTAGTAAGACCCTGTCTCAAAATTTGAAAAATGAACGAAAGAGGGGGTATAATTCAGTGCACAAGGTTGGGGTTCTGCGTCCAGTGCCGCCAAAGTAGCGCTAACTTGGGACATCAGCCGCAGAAGCCCGAGATCTCCCAACTGAGGGCTCGGCGCTGCAGCCCTCCGCGGAGCTCCTACCTGCATCAGCTGCTGCTTCAGCTTCTGGATCTCCGAGATGTTCAGCTCGCTGAACAGGTCCGAGACCGGGTGCAGGGCCTCCCCCTTCCGCAGCGCGGGCGCCCGGTAGTCCCCGTTCAGCTTCCCCAGGGGCCCGTGCACGTGCCCGTTCATCTTGTCGTCGTTGTTGGGCTCCGCGCCGTCCTCGGCGAACTTGAGTCCGTCCACCGAGAGCCCCAGGTGGCTGTCGCCCAGGGTGACGTACTGGGCCAGCTCCTTGCGCAGGCTGTTCTTCTGCTCGCGCTCGTTCTTGAGCGTCTCCAGCGCCTCCTCCAGCTGGTGCGCCGCGATCTCCTTGAGGCGCAGCGCGTCCTCCAGCTGGCTGTTGAGCAGCACCGCCTCCTCCTCGCAGCGCTTGATCTCGTGCTTCAGGCCCTCGTACTCCACCTGCAGCGACAGCCGGCCGGGCGGTCAGGGACCGCAGGGGCTGCCCCAAGGGGCACCGCAGGGCGGGACGCCTGCAGCCGCACACCGCTGCGTCCTAGGAGCTTATGTATCTACAACATATAGCATGTGGTTATACATAACACATAGCGATCTGTGAACACGTATCACACCTACGTATATGCTAACACACAGGACAGAAATATGTAATAACAATTCATCAAACACTAATTCTCAGCAGAGAAAGAAATATGTCTACTCCGTTAACATTTTTCTCTACCACTTCTTTATCTAATAGTCAACAGCAAGTGCTAGGGATTGGGGGGATAGCTCAGTGGCGTAAGTGCCTGCCTGGCAAAGGTGAGGTACTGAGTGCGAACCCTGGTACCAGAAAAAAAGAAGAAGAAAAAAGAAAGAAGAAAGAAGAAGAAGAAAGGAAGAAGAAGAAGAA